TCCTGTTCCATGTATAATATCAAGAGTAGATAATAATTAGAGGAGAGTGTCCTACTGTGCATATACCCCCTGCTTCATCACGTTGTAGAATTGAAGAGTCACATTCAGGATATTTTCAGTATTTTAGAGTAGTTATTTAGCAATATAATAACTACTCAAATAGAATACTGAAAATATCCTGAATGTGACTCTTCAATTCTATGATGTGATGAAGTCATGAAGCAGGGGGTATATATATGCACAGTAGGACTTAAGTAATGATCGATGATGTCATAGAATAATTAGCGCATGTTCCCATGTGATGTAAATTCATGTGTAAGACAGTAAGGCCCCACTGACTGTGTCAGTCTGTTTGAACAAAGTTAAAATGACATTTTTACTGTTACTTTTAGTATTACTAAGAAGAATAAGAGCTTTAGTGGAGCAAGTGATGGCTCCCCCTCCAGCTCCAGTGCAGGAGAATGCTAGAAGAGTAGCAACCTCACCCGCCATTATTGTTGCTGGTGATATTCTCTGGTACAAGAGGGACCCGCCACCAGATGCTCACTGTCAGTTCTTAGTGCAATCTGAGCAAGAGACCAGCTACTGTTACAGAAAATGTGAAATGGTTAGTGCAAAGGAAACACTAATGTCATCAGTGTCTTTTTGTGAATGCATGGGCTGGAAAAGAAAAACATCTATAGCCTATAAACTTTTGTTTTATGGTAGTTTATTATTTTTGTTTAGGTTGCATCTCTGCACAGCGAAGTACCCAAAAACTGTGTTGTCTAACTGCTTGATCACTGAAAAGGCCACCAACTTCAAGTGGCACTGCACATGCATGCACACCGTCTGAGCAACAAAACAATGTGACTCGCTTGTACACACAATTTGTATCAAATATAGATTATTATAACTGTGTCTATTTTTATTTCCAATAATGTTCAATGCTGGTCATTTCTCCAAAGAGACTCCAGTTCAGTATCATAGTTAGGATATTGTAGGATAATTGTCACACTAGACTAGAGGACGTATAAAGAGATTCTCCAACAACTCTGGACAACAACTAAAACATCAGCACTGTCACTGCGCATTCTCAGTACATAATAAAATAATTATATACATGTAAATCATATGAGATATGTGATCCTGTTTCTAATCCCGTTCTGTGATTATATCTATGTATAAATGATGACAATGAATAATAATTATTAATCAATATACACAGCAAATTGAGCAAATTATGACAATGAATAATTAATGAACATACACAAAAGATTTAAAAATAGTAAGCCTCGTGTAACGTGTCATGGATGGAGCCTCAGATGAGCTCAAGCTCTTGGATGTAATTGAAGAACAGGGATACGGGAACTGGTGAGTAGGGACATGATTTATTAGCAAAATATCAGGGACATGTAATGCACCATTGGGTGGAGTTTATTATGTACATGTACATATGAATGCATTCATACTGAGAGCTCTATCTTTGAATGTTATATTAGATTTAATTGTAGGGATGCAATTGGTCAGAGAATGTGTAAATCCAGTGAAGGTAATTATAATAATAATAATTATTATTACTTTTATCTACCTTATAGAATGCTACTCTCACTATCATCGTTACTATCTCAATGAGAAACCTCTAATTAGCACCTCTTCATCACATGATGAGTCACATGACTCCTTATTTCTACCGGCAAATTACCCGGGAGAAGAAATATCACATTACAATCCATTGAGAGCCGACTTTGAAATAGTACGTGTGACATATGACATGTATGTATGTGTCATATCTGTTATAGCTTTAAC